CGTTCGATTATATGTTCATTTATGTTCGAACAGATGGCAAGTTGAATATGTTACGAAGATTATTGAAGTTGTTTGGATTTCAAGAAGATTGTTTTGTTGAACAAATTAACTTTAAGACTTTATTATGTTCATATAGTTTATTTATGATTTATGTATGCTTTTTGTCATATTTAAACAAATTAACTCTAAAGTTGCAGGTTATATTAATCAATTTTAAGTTGTTATTCTTGTTGTTTACTTTTTTTTACATTCGTTTATTGTGTTCGAATAAGTTTTTTTTGTGTTTGTGTTGTTCATTTATGTTCGTTCGTTCGTGTTCGCTTATGTTCGTTTATTTATTAAATGAACGAACATGAACTAGCTATATTCCTTAATGAACGAACATGAACAAAAAAAATGTTCGTTTATGTTCGTGTGCGTTCGATTCGTTTACATGCTTATAAGACAAATGTAATTAGGGTTTCGTGGGGGCCACAATGGAATCCAATGAGGCCGAATTAGATGGATGAAAATAACATGCGGAAAAGTGCAATCGCCGTACCAATTATAGCATTCCATGTGTCGAAAGGTTTGTGGTCGTGAATTGTTGACCACGAGTTAATTTTAGTTTTATAAAACGTGAGGTAAATTTTGATGTTAGGTAAAAAGATTGTAAATGTAACCCAAGTAATTTTTAGGGTAAATGATAGGATTGATAATTTTTTATTGAATTTTAAAAAATTATATTTCAATCTCGTATGTTATCGATTGTTATATTTTGATCATTGATCATTAACTTATGTTAATCTGATGATGTGATGTGTCATGTGTTAGTTAAAATGATTAGTTTTTTACTCTTGAGTTTTAGGTAGAATATCGATTTGACCACAAACTTTAGATGAAATATCACTTTGACCCCTAAATCGACCAAGGTCTCTCATTATCAGCCAACACTCACCATTATCATCGTCATTTAGTATCGATCTAAAGTTCAAGGTCAAACCAAAATTTAACACATTCTGAATGGCATGCTACATTAAACTAACATGAATTAATGACTCAATAACTAAAATGTACAATCAATAACGTAAATAACCAAAATTTAATAAATCAATAACGTAAGTGATTAAAATGTAAATTTTTTATTTTCGAGAAAAAAATTGCATAAATATAAAAGGAAAATTATTAATGATATAGATAACTCTAATTTTTATTTTAAATCGAGTTATAATTGAATAATCGAGATTTTGTTTTTATAATAAGATTGAGACTTTAATATTATATGTATGGGTTTTATGTATAAGTTTTATTTTAATTTAAATCTAATTATATATGATTTTCCAACTATTATTCGAATACAATCTATATATTATCTATATTTAAAATAATGATCACATAAATTGAACTTTACGTTAGACTAACTAGGCTAACAAAGTGGGTGAAAAGTGCAAGCGCCATACCAACCAGCCCCTTCCACGTGTCAAAATGTGTGTGGTCGTAAATTGTTGACCACAAATTTATTTTATTTTATCAATGTGAAAATAGTATGATGTTACATAAAAAATAGATGGTAACCATACCCAAAATTAAAAAATGGCACTAACCAAATTATATCAGTTATTAAAAAGACTGTTATCTCTGTAGATCTCAGGTTCAAGTGTATTTGAACTATCAAAAGTATAGAAATGATATCTCGATTATATAATAATGTTTTGTTGAGTCATTCGACTATCAAAAGTTACAAAATGATCTCCCGATTATAGAACGTTGTGTTATTTAGTCCCCGACTATTAAGAGTTACATAATGATCAATTAACTATTCATATGTTTCAAACTCATCATTTTTCATTAAAAAAATTGGTGACCGTTTGAGCTAGACGTTAACTTGATCATTAGGATATGATAAAATCCGATCTCAAAATTGTTTGAGTTATATTTTGTGGATGAGTATCTATTTACATTATGTCATCGAACTAGTGCTTGAAAGCAACGGTGGTGCCAGTAGACATCATTAAAAAATAATTTTAACATATCTCGATCAATAGGTTAACGTCCAGTTTAGACGACCGTTAAATTTTTAACCAAAAAAATGAGTTTAAAACATATGAATAGTCGAATAATCATTTTATAATTTTTAATAATTAGTAGACTCAATAAAATAATACCTTATAATTACAAATAATTTTATAACTTTTAACAATCGAAAAATCCATAAACCAACGTCATACAATACTTTTCCCCAAGATTAAAATAAAATATCACAATCTTAATTAATAACATATTTGCCAAAAAGGGAGAGTGTGGGCAGAGGAATGACTCGTGGCATAAAGTTAGGGTTTGAATAAAAATATAATAATAACTTGGGAAGTGGCGTGGATTGCACGCCATCTTCAACTACTACCATACCATTGCCTTCACTTGAACTAAATCAATCCTTCTTTTATTTACTTTAATTTCCCTTTTTGTGTTTTATTGAAAGACCTAAGCAATATATATTTATTTGGACTCAACGCAAAGCTTCCAACCCTAAAATTGTCATTTATAGAATAAATATAATGTAGTTTGGATAATTCTGGACGTGAAATCACTCGCAAACAATAATAGACTGTTAATGATGACGACGACGATAAAACTACAGGTAATAACCATTTCGGCCATTTGAGACTTCTCAGATCTTGACGGTCAACGGTTTTCTCCATTCCGATGAAAGTTATATTCAAATATATATTTAATGTAAATATATGTCTAACTCAACAAATAAGCTCCTCCAAAAATATGAATTTAAAATGGATGAAAATGAAACCCTAATGTCGTAATTCCCTTGAATCCGAAATTAAAAAAAAAATCATTTCTAGTCCTATAAATTGTGTAAATCAGAGGGAAGAAATTGTAGGGTCAGTCATACATATGGTGGTAACCATAAGCCTTTTTTCTGAATATTTTGAATCTGTGCATGAATACGGTACATCCTACACGTGAGATAGAAACACACCCTGCAACTAGTAAGAAAGAAATTTGTAAGAAATTTGTCCGGTGAAGGAGCATAACTATGTTACTCGAATTCGAACACCAGCGATTACAATGGTGATTATACGTTTATTGTCAAAAGATTGAAAGTACTTATAACAGATACTACATTGTTAGCACATGTAACTTAGTATAAAAGGGTAAAATACACAATTCTTCACTGAATTATACTCTATTTCCTATTTTACTCATTATACTTTTATTTTTTCTAATTTACTAATTGAACTTTCAAATTGCTCTTATTTTGATTACTCTGAATTATTTTATTATTTTTTTGAATGACGTGAATTTTTATTTTTATTATTTAATTTAAAATAATAAAAAATATTAAAAAAACAACAGAAGGTGGTCAGACACACCGTCAGCCACCATCGACCGCCATAGATGGTGGTTGTTCAGTCCCAACTTTCATGGGTTTTGTTCGTCTCGACCCCCTGAGTTCGAATCTGGTGGTTGTTTCACCAGAAAATGTCCCAAAACCCATGAATCTTGGCTGAAATGATTCAGCTTCCTCATTTTCGATCTTTGATTCATAGATTTCAGACTAAGTTCCGACAAATGGAGGACGAATTCGAACTCATGGTGTCGAAACGAACAAAACCCATAAAATTTGGGACTAAACGATCACCATCCACGACAGTCGCCAGTGGTGTTCAATCACCTTCTATTTTTATTTTATATTAAATAATAAAAATAAATGCTACATCATTTAAAAATAATAATAAAATAATTCAGAGGGATCAAAACAGGAATAATTCAAAAATTCAGTGAGTAAATTAGAAAAATTAAAAATATAGTGAGTAAAATAAGAGAGAGTATAGTTAAGTGAGAAATTATGTAATTTACCCAAAAAAAAAGATTTACGAGTTAAATGAAATTCAACCTAATGAAGGTGTGATACTTGGTATTCATTGGGATTTGCCGATTTGGTAGCATTTGGTATATTTATGTCAACCCATTAACAGTTCTTAAAAAGTTGGATTCAAGCAGCTGTGCAACCAAACAATGTAAAAATCCGATGGTAATTTTGTCTCTTGGATATGTGTGCAAGCCCACTCAAAGTAAAAAGATTTAGGGTAAAATACACCACACGCCATCTATTTATTGGTAAACTTACAAATGGGTCATTAAATTTCAAAAGCTACAAATAGTTTAATCAATCAACTGATTGTAACAACCATGTAATTATATCATTACTTGTGCAGCACACATTTATTTTATGTTGGTCCTCTAATCTTCTAACCCGGAAAAAAATTAATTTTAGCAGAATCCTAAACCCTCAACCTTAAACTAAGAATTTATAGAGGATACATTATCTAAATCTCTTTAAAAAGCTTTAGCAACAATTTAACATTTCTCGTAAGATCTAAATGTGATAATTCGATCTTTCTTTTCATGTACAACATGTCATCAGATGAAAAATGAGGCTTCTTATAACGTTTCTCTAATGTGTCGCTAAATCAATCCAACAACATTCCACCGTAACCACATAACAACACATTTTGGATTCAGAGCAGATTTACAGTTTATCAACAATTTCTCCCCTCTCAGACAAGACTGTTTAATATGCTTTATCATCCCTATTGACTGAATAAGACGTACAATTGACATTTTCTCCCTCTCAAATATTGAAAATACAACGTATCTCAAAGTTTTTTCAATGAAGATACATGAATCATAGATTCACGATGTATCTTCCCTTACGGTCTGCATGGTTCTGCTTATGTCTCCGGAAGAATTGAAAATGTATTGTGATCTCTCAAGATTAATATTCAAAAATACCTACTTAAAAAAATAATTACGAGATAATTTTCCCTCTCATTATCCGAATAATTTTATCAAAAATTATTTTTCACTTTTCCAATTAGATGGCATTAATTAAGAGAGGCAGAACAAAGATCATGAAAATGAATAATTACAAGAAAAATCTAAAAAGGAAGTGAAAAAAAGATACTTAAACGAAAACGCCGACAACAGCAGAACGCAAAACTTGGCCCTTATTTTCTCCTCCTCCATGACTCATCATCATCCCAATCACTCACGCGCCCCAAATTAATCGGGGGGGGGGGGGAATTCCCCAATTTCAACTCAATAATCTCCTATTCTTCCTCGTCTCTCACTTCCACCGTCTTCGTCTCTTGCCCCTCTCGATGCCCTAATCACTTGCCCTCGCCGTGGAACCGAACTTCTATATCTTATTTTGTACTCTTTTCTCTTGCTATCTCTAGGGTTTGCTGCTTGTTTTCCTTTTTGGGGTTTCGGATTGGAATCTGGGATCGTGTTTGGGATTTGAATTGTGGAAGGAAGGAATCATAACGACGACGTATCTACGACGGCTTTGAAGGGCCCGTTAGTGTTTTAATCTTATGGCTGGGAGTCGAAAAAAGGGAGGGAACAAAGCTAAAGTTAAGAATTTTAGTTTAGGCGATCTCGTTCTTGCCAAAGTCAAGGGTTTCCCTACCTGGCCTGCCAAGGTCTCTCTTCTCTTTTTCTTATATTTCCTTGTATTTTTATTATTTTTAGCTTGAATTCTCAGACTTCAATTTTATAATTATATTATTTTAATATCTTATATGCTCTTTTGAACTTATGAAAATTTGAATAAATCCATGATGAGTTTGGGGATCTTTTAAACGAATTTTTTTGTGGTCTTGGTAAGTTCCTTTTGTGCTTACATTGTAGCATATTTGCTGGTTTATGATACATTTGTTTCCTTTTTAGCAAGTTTTGGTTTGTTTTGTGTGGGTACTACTTTTGGATTCAAGGTTCTCCATGCTTGTGCTAGCTGATTGTGTTTTTAGTGTTTTAGGTTTAGTACTTTTATCTGCTTCCTAATTGGTTACTTAATGCTAATATGCAATGTTAGTTTTGGGACTGAAAGAGGTAGTAGTAAATACAAATATATGTTTCTTTTTCTTGAATGCTAGATCAGCTGATCCTACCAAGTGCATCGAAAAACCATTTAGGGATTTCATTTTTTTATTCTGTTACCCAGGGCTCGGTTATTTTGTGATATTGGTTTGCCATTGGTTATTGAGGTAAGATTCTGTGGGTTATGAATTTCAGATTAGCCGGCCTGAAGATTGGGAGCGAGAACCTGACCCTAAGAAATATTTTGTTCAATTCTTTGGAACAGAAGAAATGTAAGTATTCCACATTCAATTTCTACATGTTTGTTGAATAAGTGAGATGGCGACATGGTGACTGAAGAGAGGTGATGTGTCTGTTCTGGGTTTTGCATTTGGTTTCTGGTGTGGAGGAAAACACATTTCACTATATGATGGAACATGAGATAAACACATGAAACGTGTTAGTGCCAATTTTCTTCCATAAGTATCTGTTTTGTTGTATACTTCTATTCCAAATAACTTGTTGCTATGCTGAATGCCAATCCTTGTTGTCAAGGTGTGTGCCTAACCGACACACTGTGCCTGAATCTGTTAGTGCCTCAAGAGCCTCTGAGCAAGGCCCCTTTGATGAGGCAAAGCTTTTTGTGCGGAAGCATTATTTTTCCTGCATTTTAAGTTGCGAAAATGGCATGTCGGAGAAAAAAAAAACTACATTCTTGTTTCTCTTAAAAATATTATTATTTATTTTAAAAACGAAAAAGACTAATTAATCTTCCCAATTAAATAAGAAGGCAATAGTTTCTCTACTTAAATTAAAGTAGGCAAAACATGGGTTTGATTTTTTTTATTTTTTATATTTTTTTTAAAGCTCATGGAATGAGCTTGTAACAGTTAACAGTGAACTCGAAATTGACGTTTCTGCTTGTAGAGGGTGATAGGTCTACAGGAAATTACTTAACAGAGCAAGAAACCTATTTTAAATGATTTTATTTGTTACCATTATTGTCTTAAATACTATTTTTCAACAATACTTTGGTTTGTGACATTGATGCGTTTGTGGGTTGTAGAGAATGTCCAAGTCATATTTTTTTAAGAAAGGAATTATAGCCAGCATAATTAGGAGTCACGATGATTATATTTATAATTTAATTGCATTGCGATTTTTCATTTTTAAATATTTTTTTAATTGTTAGCATTAAATAGATGTCGTTTAGGTTTTCTGTACGTTATGTTAGATTTCATTCTCACATTTATTATATTCACATCGAATTTTAGAAAAATTTTCTCGCTAATAAGTAGGGATGGGGGGTAAATCAAAGAGTTGTGTATTAAAAATTTCATTCTGTATTAAAAATTTTCTCCCAAAAATCAAAGAGTTACCCCCGCGCGCCCCAATGTTTGATGATGTTCCACCCGCCCCGAATTTTGGGGGTAAATCCCTCCCCCGACCTGATTATTTTTCCTTTTTTATTCTGCAAGATAGGAAGGTAACTTACTATATATATATATATATATATATATATATATAGAGAGAGAGAGAGAGAGAGAGAGAGAGAGAGAGATGGGGGGCTTTATAGTAATTATCCCTATATATATATGAGACATTATAGTAATTATCCGAGTTGTGTCAGGGATTTTTTTTACTCTAAACCTAACTCCGTCTGACCCCTACTCTCTCCTTCATAAAACCCGCCCCATCCCAATTTTTTTTTTAAAAACGATCCTATAGGTTCTGGTCAGGTTGGATTGGAACCTGTCAGATTTGAGTATTTTGACCATCCCTACTAATAACCAGTCTTGATGGAGGATTTGTTCATAATTTATTGCTGTAGCATTTAGGGCACAGTAATGGACCTTTTTATTTTGTACAATGAAACTTTTATTTGGTTGAAATATGTTTGGACATAGGGTTTCCAATTTTACAATCATGTTATGGGTTGTCTTGGATAAATAACTTAAATTGTGTTCAGATAGTTTCCCAACTTCTAACCATGAATTAGAGGAGCCTCTCTAGTTTGATCATATTGTATTTCTTATAATTTAGCAGTTTTAAGATTTTAGCTCATGTTTGTTGTACAGTGGTTTACATATGCAGGCCTTCAAATAAAGGCATGCCTAAAAATAAGTACTGCTGGAGTTATGCTTAGTAGCATTTTGCATAAATGGTATATTTATGTGTAAATAGTGAAGTGGCTCTGGGAATGTATTTTGGTTTTTCAAAATGTTCAATCCAGTCTTGAGCATGTATTGGGATTTTTTTCTTCTAAATTTTTTGTGTTGTTGCATTCATATTTGCATATCTATAATCATGCTTAAGGCTTAAGCTGTGAGGCTTAAATCTTAAACCTTGAATGGGAAACTTTATTCCTCTTTGGACTATAATGGTTAGTTGATGATGCTTTTCCTTCTAAATTATGTGCCAGACATCTTTAAATCTGTTGAAAATCAGAACCTGCTCATTCTTTTTTACTTTCAACAGTCAGCGGTATATTTTCATTTTCCTTTTGTACATAATATTCATGCACATATGAGCAAGTTGATAGATTGAATAGCTCAACCTTTTCTCTCTTAAAGCTAGTTTTTTATGTAATTGGGATTTTCTTAATTGATTACTGCAGTTTTATTTACAATTTCTTTTGTATGAAAGGAGCAATACTTTTCATTACCAGCCAAGAGATGCATGCGTTGTCATTATTTTCTCCAGAGTACTTTTTGAACTAAAGTTAACTTGTGTTCCAGTTGCTTATTACTCCCTATGCTTTATTCTTTTACAGAGCTTTTGTTGCCCCTGCTGATATTCAAGTGTTTACAAGTGAGACAAAGAGTAAATTGTCTGCCAAGTGTCAAGTTGTTAAAACCAGGTACTTTGTCCAAGCAGTTAAGGAAATCTGCAAGGCATTTGATGAATTGCATAAAGAGAAGTCCAGTGATTTGAGAGATGAATCTGATAGACCAGCACCTGGCTGTGAGGCTTCATCCGCTGATGGGGTTGAGGAGGATGCTGCAGAGGTCGACTTAAAGGATGGAGCTGGTGCATTAGCACATGGTGAAGAAACCGCTGATTTAGGAAAAGGTGAAAGTAATAGTGAATACAAAAAGCCTTTGATTTCAAGTCATTTAGATGATAGCTCATCTCCACTTATGTTTTCTGAGGGAAAAGATAAACTTTCAAGTGGTGAACAAGCTAAAAAGGAGGTTTTATCTCCAGCATCTTTAGACGAGCCTGCTCGTATGAAGGAGGAATTCTCTGATGATAAAATTGTTACAGTCAATCGCACTAAGAAGACATTGAGGAATGATCATATGTCAAAGAAGATGGCTCCTGGATTGAAGAAAAGAACCGAGCAAGGGCATAAAGGCAGCAGTTCAGCCGCAACATTATTGAGAGATGATAAATCTGGTTGTTGTCTTGATCGGCCTGATTCTGAGGAGAAATTGAAGGATAGAATAAAAGGAAAAGTCTCGGATGGTTCTGTACGGAAATTCTCACCAGATGCTTTCAAATCAGATTCTAATCAAACTGGTGGTAAAAAGGCAAAGGAATTGGTGAAAAGTAAAAGCAACTTGAAGGCTACTGATGATGTAAAGAATCCTGTGAGCAATCCAAAGGGTGAGACTACTGGCAAGAAAAAAAGGGGTGAAAGTGGGCTTGGAAAGCCAAAATCAGGAGCAGGTGAAGTTTTACGTCCTGCCAAAAAGCCAAAGGTTTTAGATATGAAAAATGAGGCTTCCAAGGGATCTCTTGTCAAAGAAGTGAAAACTTCTCCCAGCTCTAACAATGTCAATGACAAAGCAGCTATACAATCAGAGTCAAAGAAATGCACATCACATGTTTTAGCATTGAGAGCTCCCACATCCGTTATTTCTGATGTCTCTGGTGATGAAGCTGTGCTGCCCTTATTAAAGCGCCACCGGCGGTCTCTAGAGGCAATGGATGATTCTAGTAACTCTGACAATAAAATTGGAAAAAATCCTGCTGAATTGAAGAATAGCACTTCAAGTTCTGGTAATCTGAAAATTCCAGCTTCCCAACTGCCCAGAAGGAGTAGAGCTGTTTGTCTTTTCGACGACGACGATGAAGATCCCAAAACCCCACTTCATGGAGGATCTGTGCGGGATGTTAAAGTAAATTCTGTTGTTTCGGCTGCTTCAAAAAGCATTGATGTAAATCACTCAATTACTACTGACGCTCAATTTAGTGTTGGAGATTCCAACCAAGATGAGGACAATGGTCCCAAGGAGGCTTCTTCACAATTGGTGAATGATTTTGTGTCACCTATTCAACCACAAACTGTTGAAAGGAGGCCTTCTACTCATGCCTCCGCCACTCCTGAAAAATCAGAATCTGAAGAGTTGTCTTCCAAGGGGGCTAGGTCAGTCCTGATCTCCCCAAGGAAGTCTCCTCATCTGGTTTCCGCCACAAAACAAGTTGAACAACACAAACCTACTAAAGCTGCTGTCAAGGTTTCTAGTAATGGGACTCAGAAAAAGGCTCCACCTGCCTCTGTCAAGGGGTCGGGTGTGACTACTGATGGTTCAAGGTCTTCTCAAAATCAGGTTTTGAGTCAAAGATATAGACAAGCTTCTTCCGTAGAGAGACTGAAACCTACTCCAAAAGCTGTTTTACATGTAAATGGCACCACTTTTCTTACCGAAACTTCAGTGGAGTATGGCTCTGTATTACCCTTGTTTTACATTTAATTAATCTTTTTTAGTAGTACTGATTTTCATTGCATAGTGTTAACTAATGTATTTCTATATAGATTTGACATCTTCAAAGAAGATAGAAACGATTCATTGATTGATGCCAAAAATCCAGATTCTGCTACGTCAATGAAGCATCTTATTGCCGCTGCTCAGGCAAAAAGGAAACAAGCTCACTCTCAACAGTATTCTCTAGGAAATCCTAGTTCTGTGTTTCTGTCAATGTCTGAGGTTCATGGGGTGAGCTCCAGTCCTTCATTCCAGCCTTTTCCCTCTGCAATCAACAACGAAGTGCAGGCTGATGTGCAAGAATTTGTTCATCGAACAATTATAGTTTCTCCACCAACTCTAGGTCGCCAGTCAGGATCCCAAAATCAACAGGATACTGAGGAGGTTGAAGAGAGAAGAGCTAGTTCAGGACACATTGCAGCTGGTGGCTCTCTCAGTGGTGGCACTGAGGCATCTATTGCTCGAGATGCTTTTGAAGGAATGATTGAGACTTTATCGAGGACTAAAGAAAGTATTGGACGTGCAACTCGCCTTGCTATTGATTGTGCCAAGTATGGCATTGCAAATGAAGTAAGCTAAATATTTTGCTTATTATATTTGGGGCAAGATGAGCTTGTTTGACCCCAAATTTGTTTATTATGATTTATAATTTTATTTTAAACTATATGGTAATGATGACATATGATACTATAATCCTTTTGGATACTGCTTTTTGGAAGGAGTTTTAGATTTTATAATCTGTACGCAGGTTGTTGAACTTCTCATCCGAAAGCTGGAAAGCGAGCCCAGCTTTCATCGTAAAGTTGACCTGTTCTTTCTTGTTGATTCAATCACCCAATGTTCACATAATCAGAAAGGTTGGTTCTCCCTTGATTAGGGATGCATTCAATTACTCTTTATTCCTGAATTTATGTGTTGCTTTTTTCGTGCTGACTGAGTCACATCTTGAGACCTTTGAAGGAGTGCTTCATTTTAACAAGAACACACTTTTAAGTGCTCTTCTACTTACGTACAGACTTGTGGTTAATGTTTATTTAGGCATTGCTGGTGCTTCATATATCCCTACTGTTCAAACAGCTTTGCCCCGTCTTCTCGGTGCAGCAGCTCCACCTGGAGCAAGTGCTAGTGAAAATCGCCGTCAATGTCTCAAGGTATAATATTGTTTTTCAGTGTAAGAAAGTATTCTTCTGTTCTCTCCTTCCCACCCCACCCCAGCCTCTCTCCCATCTGAAGGATAAAGGGATCTTTTGTCTATACCAGGTTTTACGGTTATGGCTTGAGAGGAAAATTTTACCTGAATCTATTCTGCGGCGTTATATGGATGACATTGGAGCTTCAAATGATGATACAATCTCGGGGTTTTCCCTAAGGCGTCCTTCTCGAGCAGAACGTGCTATAGATGATCCTATAAGAGAAATGGAAGGCATGCTTGTGGATGAGTATGGCAGGTGTGAAAACTCTTTCAACTATCTAAATGAAATTGTTATAATGATAATAAATAATCCACTATATCCTATTGAAGATTGGGCTGGTTTTCTTATGGTTTCGGATATGTATGAAGCCCAATTAAGACCAAATTTACGGTCAGCTTGATTTTCAGACCAAAGTAAAACCTTTTGCTTTTCAAACCATGGCAAACCAACTTGGCTACCATTAGTCGAGTTTAGCTGAGGCCAAATTATCAGCACTCCAGTCCACTATGCGACATTGATCTGATTGAAATATATTGCTGAGCTACTTACTTTCTTAGTTATCTTATATTGAAGTTTTTCTCAAATTACTAAAGTTTGAAGTCGTTTCCGAAGTTCTTTTTGTAGCATTTGTGTCCCGTATTGTACTTCCTAGTATTTATCACTTGAGAGGAACATTAACTTTCTGACACCAATTTTGTTGGTTTTGTAACCAGTAATGCTACATTTCAGCTGCCTGGCCTTTTGTCTTCAAATGCATTTGAAGACGACGAGGAAGAACTTTCAGACAGTCCTTGCGGAGAAGCTGTTGACGCATCACCTCTTGAAATGACTCAGACATCAGCAGAGTTAGAAGCGTGTACAGTTACTCCAAGTGACAGGCGTCATTGCATCTTAGAAGATGTGGATGGTGAGCTTGAAATGGAAGATGTTTCTGCACACCAGAAGGAGGACAGACCATCATTCACTAATGATACTCTTGAAAGGACACGCAACAGCTGGATACTGATAAAATTATGGAATCAGGTTCAAATAGCTCCAATGGATGCCCCCTCTAATAGAGGGTTCCCGCCTTTGCCCCCAGATTCTCCTCTACCCCCACCACCTTTGCCACTTTCATCACCTCCACCGCCACCTCCATCATCTCCATCACCACCTCCACCTCCTCTACCCCTACCAACACAACCACCGCCACCTCTACCCCTACCAACACAACCACCTCCATCATCTCCTCCTCCTCCTCCACCACCACCACCACCACCCTTACCAACACAACAACCTCCTCCCCCTGCGCCACCTTCATGCCCTCCTCCAGCTTTCATACCCCAACTACCATTGCCCACTCAACCTTCACTGCTATCTCAACCCATGGTACCACCCCAGTCTTCGATGCAGTCTTCACCGCAGTTGGTATATCAACTGCCTGTATATCATGAATTTCGGGGCACATCAAATGTAAGTCTTCTAGATATTTCTTTTCTTGTTTCTGAGCATGTCAATACTTTTTAATTTATAAAACCTATGCCTTCTTGTGCAGGGTAATCAGATTGTTCAAATGGGCGGAACTGCTCATGGGGGTCATATAGATGTTGCTGTGAAAAGTGAATTGTTTATGCAGCAATCACCTTCCTTTCAGTCAGGAGTCAGAAATTCTCTAGAGTCTTCTGGATATAATTTTTCAAGGCAATTGGAATATGGACATAATGAAATGTACTTAAATGCCCAATCCTCTCAACCAAGTCAACAATTTCCACCTGGTAATACAGCCTTTGTGCAAAGACCTTTACCCCCGAGTCTGCCACAGGCTTCATCTAGCCATTTCTCATTCACAAAGCCTTCCATGCAACCACATCCTCAGCATTCGTGTCCTCAATATTCACTGCCATCACAACATGATGGTCGCAGGCCATTTGTTGCTGATGAACAGTGGAGAATGCCTGCCAGCGATTATAATACTGATAATCAGTGTGGGTGGATAGGAGGAAGAAATCCGCCATCTTCTGGTCCAATATTTGTCCAGGAAGACATGAATTACCTTGTCCCTAATCCCCATGAAGCTTTGATGGTTAAAAGATGTAAATTTTGGAGCACTAAATTTATGTTTTTTTGTCTGATTGTGTTATTCTTAACTGCAAATTTAACACATGCCCCCTCTAATGTTGTGGCAGTCAGACTTTTTAGTGTTGCATGTTGTTATGGGTGCTCTACTGAAAAAAGGACAAAATTCCAAAATAACAAATGCAGAATATGTCACCATAAGTATGAAAGGCATGCTTTGCACTGTATCTGCTTATTATCTAAACTATAAATAACATAAGTGACACTAAGAGCTCAGTCTTATGCCCATGAATTAGTATCTGAGATGTTCTTCTGATTATATTTCTTCATGTATATTTCATGTGCATGACTTCCTCTTTCATACAGGACTTAATTTGCTGATAAGATGTACCTACTTTTTATGACGCTTCTGTTAATTGTTTGGCAGGTTACTTTAGACCACCTGTTGAAAGGCCATCCTCAAGTAATATGGGTTATCCTAATGCTTCCACCAATAATCTACCAGCTGGACCTCCAAATTCTGGTATTGCAATTTTGTTGTCTTGGTTTGCTTGTAATTTCCTTTGTTTGCCACTTAAAGAAACAACGCCTATTAAACCAGAGAATGACATCATGGTTTTATCTTTCAGGTCATGGTGTTTCACCGATATTGCCATGTCGACCAGACATGTCTGCTATTAATAGTTGGAGGCCAGCTCGAGAATAAGGAAATAGTCTTATTAGGTACTTAGTAAATATTCGTATTTGTTAATGAAATCTTTTCTTAGAACATTTCATTCTTTATTTTTTCAATACAACATTTGATTTTTATTATTGAAGTGAATGAAGTTTGCCGTTTAAAATTTTTGCTCATTTGTTGCAAGAATGGAAGTATTTGTTATTGTTTTTGTTTGTTCACATGTAATCTTATTGCTTAGGTTTACAATTATTTTCTTGCATCTCTTATATCTGTTATAAAAATAGAAGTTTATTCTTCAGGATAGAAGGAATCAGGAACTCATGACCTCTATGCCTATCCTTTACACTTGATCAATTTCTGCTTAATTTGCAACATTGACTGGTGTTTCTTTGTAGTTGGGTACGAGACAAGTTTCATTTAAGTGTGGCTCAATTTGTGGAAAAAATTCAAATATCACATGAAGGCTGCGTTGATAACTTGCGGTGAGACTCTCGGCAGGATTGTGTAAATTGTATTTTTTCCTGACAAATGTATCCCAGGAACATTTGCTTCCGAGTTTAGGCCCATATTTCTGACTCGGTTAGTATACTGTTTCTTAGCTTCTGTAATTATGCCGACTTCATAAGAAAATTATTTCGTGGTACAAAATTTGAACTCTGGTCCGCGTAGTTGTTTTCAAGGCGTTTTGATTGTTTCTTTTATTCAAAAATTATTCAGTGCTTTTTGTTGAGTTAATTGCTTGTGATGCTGGCTTTCTTTTGGAGCCACGTTCACACAAGCGCTTTTGTGTTTCCTGAGCTCATGTTTAATGATTTTCTTTTTGTGTTCTATAGGAAGCACAATTGTATCTGAAAATGGTTGACTTATCTGATTTATCGTTTAGATGCAACTTGGTTCATTCCTAAACATGTCTATCATTTTTATTTTCATTGGAAGAAGTGTGAACCTTTTTAAGAACTTGGCCTGTTCTCTGCCTGGCTTTAAGTGAAGGAGATATATTTAACCACGTATGAAACTTTAAGCCGCAATAATTTAAGATGTGAAAGGCCATTTGCTGTAATGTTTTAGGCATTCTCTTTGTAACTTGTGGTGATCCTAAATGCTGATAAATTGGCATAAGCTCCTCAACCAACTTTATGATGGAATCGTGGGTTTCAACCAACCCGGTTTAGTAGCAATCTGTGAACTTTAGCCAAATATGCGATTGATATTCTTTCTATGTTTTCCAGTCAATAAAGAAAATTGAGTTTAGAATAACGTGGTCATTACTTGTATGTCACAGGTCGTATAATCTGAAATATCTCTACTTATGGTGTTGCAACTTGATATCCACCAATGTTGACTGGTCCTAAGCACAGAGCAGACTACCACAAATTTCGAGGTAAATATTTGACATGGATACTTGAGCCTAAACAATGCTTGGAATTTTTTTAAAGTTAGATACAAGGATGCTTCTGTCAATTGTATGTAGTTTGAAAAATACTTGGAAAATTTGTGGCTAAAATATGTGTTTATAGTGCTATTATGTACATTACAGAAGTTTGCTGGAGCTAATGATCCAAGGAACTCATTTTCATTAAATGTTTCCAACGACCTTACCCTCGCCCCTTACACAAAATTCTTCACCCGAAGTTGCTCCATAAATTGGATACTCGGACAATAAGGATGCATCATGTTGCATGAACTAAAGCGTGGGTGCAGATATGGGTATGTGTTTTACACAGCTATGTTTTTTTCTAAAAAAAATCATGTATTTAGATCCTAGTAAGGTCGCATCGTCATAAACGTGTCCTATACCGGTATATATGCACAAATATTAATTTACATTTGATGTTGGCGTTGGATATTGGCATTTAAAGAAAAACGATGAGTCAGCAATGCTTCCTTCGATGGTTTGATTAGTTGGATGAGAATAGAGATCGGCGTCAACACCGGGAATAAAGGCAGTCCCAAATCTAGTAGATGGAGTGTTTGAATGAGTAGATTGTAGTTTCCTTTAGCATTAGAATGGTTACTTTTATGGCTTATCTGAATATTCATGAAAGCAATAGTTTCCTCACAATCACAGGGCTGTTAATTTATAAATGAATGCATGTCTTTCGGGTAACCAGTCGAATAGCTACTAACGACAAATATGTTAATATTCGAAGGGTGCTTGGTCAAAAAATTTGCACCCATGCATGTCCATTAAAACTGCAAGGATCTTACAATTACTATTACAATAATTTTATTTTTATTTTTCTATTATCTATAAATTACGACGATTGAACACACTTTAGAAGCACCTTCAAATTAGCTAGTATGTGCCGTGGTCCTAAACTATCGACACCGATGAAGTTCAAAAGCTGCTCGATATCCTGGGAAATGAGCAAGAAAGACAATGAATTCGTTGTGAATCGAGTATCAAAAGATAAAACGTAAAACACAGTTTCTCAACCGATAATTTATAGTTAGCATTAGACCAACTAGCATAAACTATCATGTTTTTCGTAATTACTTGATAAGCAAATTTGAAGTTCATGATGTGCAAGAGTTATGTTTCAACTCTCTGGAAAAGGTGAACCACAATGCAAGTGAAGAATCAGTGCAAGGTCATTACAATAATGTATGGTACTATTGAAAACTCACCTTGCTCAACAAGAATACGGCGTATGCAGCTCTTGTTGTGTCTTGACCTTCTAAAAAACAGTGGGAGTTCTACAGGTTTTACAGCTACAGAAAGCATTGTATTCCATAATGGATCCAAAATTGTAGCCTCTACTGAAGGTACATTGTCGTTAACATATGAACGGGAACCACCCAGGCACAGGATAACGCAGGGGAACTTGTAAACATGAAGCAATTAAGGAAACAGCCTATACAAAACAAGGAACGGGGGAAGAAGAAAGAATAATCAGGTAAATCGAAATTATTGCCTCGGCAAGAAAAGAATGGCTATATGATACTGCTCAAGATAACTTCGATCGTAGTAATAGAGAAAATAACTTCAGTGACCGAAAATGCCTTATAATATACGATTTTAACCAATTTTTTTTGGATTTGCGAAAATGACCAACAAATTCGCAACGCGAATATGTAAATCGCAACGCGAATTTGTAATTTGCAACACAGAAGTCAAATTCGCAAAGCGCGTTTATTTTCGCAACGCGAATTTTATTTTCGAATTCGAAACACAATATTAATTTTGCAACACAAATGTAATCAGCGTTGCGAATTTGAAAACTGAGTTGCGAATAGTTGTGTTTACCTATATTAGTAATTAGCTTTGCGAAATTCGAGTTGCGAATTTAAAACTCGCGTTGGGATTTTGGAGAATCGCGTTGCGAATTTAAAAACTGAGTTGCGAATAGTTGTGTTTACCTATACCGGTAATTAGCGTTGCGATAACGAAATTCGCGTTGCGAATTTGAGAATCGCGTTGCGATTTTGAAAACTCTTTTTTGTCTGTGAAAGAACTCATCTTCACAAAAGGAAGCATGGTGGGATGCAGACCTAGTATCGTCAGGGATCTGTGATTAATGGACTTAGATACAGAAAATTCCCTGGTGAAGATAACACAAAAGGAACTTAAAATCATAACCCAGCACCACAATTTTGGAAGTCAAAATCATAATCAATATGTGTCCATAAACTCGAGTGCAAAGAAAAAATGCATTTCATTCACAATGCGAATTAAGTTATGGAAGCTAAACACGTTACTACTTTACTACTGCTCGGAAATGATTCGATGGAATATTTTTTTAAAAAATAATTCAACGTGGTCCTCTATTTTAAAAATAATTCAATGTGGTCCTCCATTTTATGTGAATCTTATTCCATCCAACGACCACCTTCACTTTAATCATCTTCAATATCTTTGAGACCAAGCATGAAAAGAAAGGCTGACCACTGTTCCAGCATGCTATTTTCTTTTCTTTTTTTTTCTCTAAAAAATAAGTTATTTTAATAATTTAGTAATAGCAATAATAAAGGTATTTTAATAACTCTAAGAAGAATTAAATAATAATCTCATGTCAGCTCTTGAAATAGAATATAAGATGATGATGATGTGTTTTTGGGTGTTACATCCCCAATCATATTAATGGATATATCATTGCATGCCATACAAAGAATGTGTATGTATGTGACTTGCTAGGTTTTGGTAATATTACATTTTGGTACCATAATCTAATTCTGGGGTGAACTAATGGTCCCCCAACATACATACAAACCCTTCTTTATTCGTACGTACAAAAAGTCAATTCCAACACAACAAAACAATTTATATATGATGCCATTTACATGTATTCATACCAAATTTGTTTTTTCTTCTTTCTCTGTCTCCCGATCTAATTTTGATCAGACTCGAATTTCAATATTTAAGATCGATACTTTTATTCTAGTAGGATGATGAAAAAAAGAGATTTCATGTAAGAGATGGTATAAATTTAGTGTTTTGAGAAGACGCTAGGACCATTAGATGTAGTGTTTATGAAGTGGTATTCGTTTAATTTTTTTTAAATAGTCTGTAACATCACAAGGTAGTATCTGTTTAGAGTTTTTTTTTTAAAAATCGATAACACACCTTACTGACGTAGCTGCTCGAATCTAAACTTGTAGGGAGAATATTATTCCTTTTTACAACTCAAATCCTTGATAGACTCTAATTATATCGATTTTCAACCCGAATATGATTAAAATGTAACGAAAACCTACCAGTTACAATGATTACTCAAACATCTAAATTCAAATAAACAAAATTTTAATTATCAAAATTAACTCGAATCTAGAGAAAGTTCTATTCAAAACTTGGATTTAGTATAAAGGCTGTTTGTTTGCCTCTTAATGGAATCATTCAGCGCTGAATGCTGAACCGTTCAGCATTCAGCGCGTTTGTTCGTACCTCAGTGTTGAATGATTCAACATGTCACATTCAGAGCTAATTCATACAGAGCCTCTGAATCATTCAGCATTGAATCATTCAGCGCTTATCATTCTGAAAGTAACAAACTAACCCCTAACTTTTGATAAAATTGTGATATTGTGTGAATAAATTTGTAATTGGACAGCGGCAAGGAAATGTATTTAAAGATTTAGTGTTTATTATAAATTTGGAATTCAAAGGCAAAGGAAGGGATTATGATTAGCATCAAAATAGATCTCATGATGGTGTTATTGATTGACTTAACCGAACAAATGAACGAACACGAACATAAACAACAAAAAAATTTCTTGTTCGTGTTCGTTCGTTAAGGAATGTAGCTTGTCCGTGTTCATTCATGTTTGTTCATTTAAATGATAAGCGAACACAAATGAACGAACATAAACGAACTGATGTAAATGAACATAAACGAACACAATAAACGAACACAAACAAACGAACGTAAACGAACACAATAAATGAACATAAACGAACGTAAACGAAAATAAATGAAAATAATTTTTTTTTCTATCCAAACAATTTTTGGATTATATTATATTTAATTATTTTGGGCTTTTTATTTTTATTTAAAATTAATTGAATTTTAAAATATTTATGGGTATCAGATTAAAATTTATTGGGTTTTAATATTTTAAATGTGTCTAGAGAGATTGGGCTAAACATAAATGAACGCACATAAACGAACAAACATAGACGAACATAAATAAATATAAATGAACGAACATATTACCGAATGTTCACGATGAACGAACGAGCCCTCTGTTCGTGTTCGTTCATTTAATTAAACGAACACAAAATTTTGTTCATGTTCGTTCGTTTAATAAATAAACTAACTTCTCGCTGAACGGTTCACAAACGGTTCGCTGAATGTTCGATTCGTTTACCGTCGTAGATCAAATAATTGAAAATAACTTTCTGCTGCTCATTAGAAGAGGCCCTAGTGAAAAAGTGAAGCAACCAACCAACCCACTAACCAGCAATGGCAATGGCAATGGCAATGAGACAGAAGAAGAGGAGGCTTCCATTTCAGACAGACCTTTCGCCATTATCAGATGAAAAGAAAGAAGAGGGAGGCTTCCATTTCAGACAGACCTTCGCCATTATCAGATGAAAAGAAAATGATCAGCCATAGGAGAGGATTATTGCTGCTGGTTTTCATTACGTCTCAACGTGGAACTAAACTGCACTGCAAATATCGATAATCATCTTTTATTATTTCTTTCTTAATTATTATATAATGAAAATATAACTTATAATATGTATATTAAGAAAAAATAATAATCTCGTAAGTTGCAAACAATACAAATTTTTTATTTAAGTAAAAATTATAGTCGATGAGAAAATAACCATTAGTCGATATATAGAAAAAAATAATATACTTATCATGAAGAAGAAAATGACTGGGTATTAATAGTATAAGGTTCCAATCCCTGTTCTTTGCGTTATATTAATCGTGAAGTCGTTATGATTATTTATAGACTTACAATATTTAATAATCAAGATTAAGTAGATATGTCAAAGATCTTATCTATGACCGATACGCAAATTTCATATGATATATTTAGAAGAAATAATAATGCTGATGTCAATATTGACTTGGGCATACCCTATTCTTAACCATATATTATTCCCACTATTGTCTTTGACCTAGGGGTGTAAACGAGTCGAGCCGAGCTCGAGTATCGCTGAGCTCGACTCGACTCGAAAACTCTGAAATGTAACTCGACTCGACTTGAAAATTAGCGAGTTTTAAATTTTTAAGTTCGGCTCAAACTCGAAATCCTGAATTGAAGCTCGTGAGCAGCTCGAAAAGGCTCGAAATGAAAAAAAATCTTAAACTTAACTAGATTGAAGCCTCAAACTCAAACTCGAAACTGAACCTTAAATACATGAAAATCTTACTGTATTTTTTAAAAAAATCAACACATAAATATTAATATTATTAATAATTTTTTTTTTTTTTAAAAAAAAATCTTAATATATTATATTTTCAAGCTACTCACGAGCTTTTTGAGTCGAGTATCAAGTAGCTCGTTTTGGCTCGTTAAGAATTCGAGTCGAATTTGAGTCAATTCGATCCAAATATTTATCGAGCATTGATCGAATTAATCTCAAATATCTCGCGATCTGTCTAGTTTCATTTACGGTCCTACTTTGGCCAACAACAATACAACATTGCTATGCTAAGCAGCCTACAGCTCCTTTTTTTCCTTTTTACTTTCGCCTTTTTCTCCATGTTACATCCCTCTCCTCTACGCCTCTAAAAGTTTCTTCCCTCTGCCTTTTGCAGGTCTATAATGCCTGCCATTGCAGTTTTTTCTTCTTAAAGAATCAGGGTCGGTGCCAGATTAAACCCCTTTATTTTTCCTCTCTGACTCCTATATTTTTTTTCGTTGTCAAAAGATGCCATCACCACCAAAACCACCCATGTTTCCCTCATTATTACTCTCATTATCTATATCTCTGATTTTGCTGAGTTTTTACTCCTTTTTCTTATAGCTTTCCCATTTGTTTCTTAGAGTTTTCAAGAGAGTTTATAGAAACTTCTGTTCTTTGGTTGCCATAAGTGGAAAAACAAGTGAGAATTTGATTGTTTCAAGGTGGTTTTTTTTTCCACTCACAATGAAAAAATGAAGCTTTTATGAGTGTTGGAATCATGCAAATGCACGCCTTCGAGGAATGTCCTGGGCTGAATTTGATTGTTTCTTTGCTGATTGAAGAGTTGTGTAAAGGGTGTCATCGATTTGTGATCTTGAATCCAAATTGACCTTTTCTTTCAACTGGAGATCCAAGGAAAAAACAAGAATTTTGAGGTTCTGGTTTAAGGGCTGGATTGTTACTTGTGGAAGCAAAAGGGACATATTTGATACCTTGACAATGGCGTCCAAAGAAACTTCGGCTTTGGACCTTGTTGTTAACGTGACCGATCCTTTCTTCTTGTTCTTGGTGGTATCGAATTTGTGACACTCTTTTCCTTCAGGTAACTACATTTCTTCACCAGATTTCTGATTTTGTTGTACTTTAAAGGGAATGGGGCAATCAATAGGAAAAAAATAATGATTTTTTAATATAAAAAAATTATAGTTTGTATGATAATACATGACTATGATTTAGGTGATGCATGAGGGAGATGAGAGCTACTATGTTATGGATATAGCTTTGTATCTACATGGAGATCTTTGATTTTTCTTTCTAAGATGTTCGATTATAATCTGTATATATGTTGGATACAGGTGCCGTTGCCCGTTGATCTGTCAACTTAGTTTGTATGATAATACAGGACTGATTTATGTGCTACACGAGGGAGAATGGGAGATGAGTGCTACTGTGTTATGGATATAGCTTGGTATCTAACATGGGAATCTTTGATTTTTCTTTCGAAGATGTTCGATTATAATCTGTATATATGTCGGATACCGGTGCTGGTTGATTTGTCAACTTAGTCTGTATTCAGTATAATGTTGAGAATGATAAATTTGTCTGCAATTACATGGATTCTGACATAGTTTATTCACACATCTGGTATCAACATATCAGTGGCTTTTCTTTTTCTTCACTTCAACTAGTAGCTATTGTTAATTGGAATATTGGATATGAGTGTCTGATAATGGCATACAAATGACCTGGGAATGTTCAAATTGTGGAGTGGTCTACTTATGCCCTCGGGTCAGAAAATGTGTTGAACACGGATACTTAAGAGAAACGAACCATTGGAGAAACATAGGCCCTTAGAGTTTTAGGATGAAGATGTTCCTTGTCTTCTTTGGTTTTTTATCGTTTAACAATTTATAAAATAGGTTCATGACTTGAGAACTTACGTTTCTTTTTTTATCCTTCTAATTGCTGATTTTATCTGTTTATCAGATTCTAGGTCACCTTTCAACGAATTTTTTTTTATCACCAAATCATTATAATCTCGTAAGAAAACCACATTTATCATGGCCAAAAGATCGAATAGACGTGTTGTGCAAAATGAGAAAGAGCAGTTGGGCTGTATGTGGGGCTTGATTAGTATGTTTGACTTCCGCCTTGGGAGATCGACTCAGAGGCTGCTTTCTGATATAAGGCGTGGGAACAAGTATGCAGATGGTAAGTTCTCTAAGGAACTTTGAAGCATATGTCTGCATGCAGATAGAACTTTATTTGTAGTTTCAAAGCTATTATAGTTGGTCTTTTCGATTTCTTGCATGCAGATTGAACTCGGTTTGTAGTTGCAAAGCTAAATGGTCTTTTTGATTGACCTTATAGCTTTGAGAGATCATTAGTCTTGTTTGTTCCTTAGACATTTGTTTTGCTCTTCCTGGTCCGTATCATTCTAAGTATTCTTTCAATGCTGTATTTTCTCTTTAACTTTGCAGGTGTGGAAAATTCGGGAAATAAACTTAACAGTTCTGGTGACAAGTGTTCAAGAACTCATGTAAGCTTCAGAAACTTGACCCAATTCCATCATAATTTTTAAATATTGATATTTGTATTCATTAGAAGGGTAGAATTGGAGTAAGCTTTTCATTTGTTGTTGATATTAATATATATATACACACACATTTATAGGATGGTGAAGAGAGAACAAAAGTGACAGATGCATGTAAGCCGAGTGTGAAGAAACTCCTTGAAGAAGAAATGTTGGTAAAGCAAGCTGCGAGAAAGGAGTTAATAATTCTGCTGTTGAAGCAAAGCAGTTTGACTCGGTGCAAGAGACAATGGGAGAAAGAACCGAAAAAGAAAAAACAAAACTCGTAAGAAAAGTTCTGGAAACAGCCTTGATATGGATGCTGCTGAGAACATGTTATCTGAAGTATCATGTCAGGATAAATCCGAGCAGCAACAAACTACAAGCAATCTTGATATGGATGGTCTAATGAACGAGTTCTGTCGGCAAATCCATCGGAAAAGAATGAATCGTGTGAATCATGACCAGCTTGCTGAAGCTAATATGCAGTCAAACCCGAAGAGTTCTGATTTGGAAGAAAGGTTAAGTGAGGCAATCAAGTTCTTAGTGAGTCAGAAGCTTGTTGACAGGAATCTACTTAACGAAGATGGGGAACTCCAAGCCTCAAAAGAAGTCCTGGATGCACTTCGAATTTTGAGTTTAGATGAGGAGTTGTTTTTGAAGTTTTTCCGAAACCCGAACTCATTGCTTGTGAAATATGTTCACAACATGCGGGATTCTCAGTTAAAGGATGAAGACTCTAAGCCTCTCACTCCATCCAACTTTTCCAAGAACGGACCTGTTCGTTTAAGACAACCAAATGAGCCTGTTAATAGAAAACAGCATAATTTCTTTAGAAGAAAGCCGAAGGTTCAAGAAAGAGACATATCAGATGAAAAAAGGGTTTTTGAAGCTTCTAGTAAAATAGTAATTTTGAAGCCTGGGCCAATGACACCAGAAACTGGAAGCAGCCTCAGCTCATCACCAGAATCTCGGTACATAGGAAGACATAGAGGGCCGAATGAGAAAGTCGGTTCCCACTTTCTTCTTGCTGAAATCAAAGAAAGTGGAAACATGCTATGGGAAGGGAACAACAAAGAATCCCCACTGATTGTTTATCCGGAAGACTTCCGGGTGAGCAACAAAGTTCAGTGAGCAACGGAGGAGTTAAGGAATATATTGGGATGAATTCTCCGACTAAGACCACTTTTTTATTGAAAGAATGGCAAGGTCACCTATCGGTGTCAAAAAAGGAGAAAAGACAAGCAAGCTAAAAGACTCTGAACTTGGTACAGAATATGACACTACCAACTTTTCCCGGCATTCAAACATCTATATCGAGGCGAAGAAACATCTATCTGAGATGATAACAAATGGGGAGGAGAATGTGGATCTTTCATGCCGAAGGGTTTCAAAATCCTTAGGTAGGATTCTTTCTCTCCCGGAGTATAATTCTTCCCCTTTTGGCAGCCCCGGGAGGAACTCAGAGTCTAGTTTTATAACTGCACAGATGAGGTTTTCTGGCTCTGACAAATTGCAAAATGTGAATGCAAATGATCTACACAACTATGTCAACCATCTAAGTCAAGTAGAAGAGGAACCTGAAAGCCAGCTTGGCGTTTTGAATAGCAAAACCATCGATGAAGTCCGTGGTGACAATGCAATTTCAAACAGCATTGACACTTGTTTGAATGATGATTGTTCTACTAAAGAAGAAATGAACTCCAAAGGTATTGTTTTCCGTTTGTTTATTTGATGATGCAATCATGAAAATTGAAGTTTATGAATATTTTTAAGCTTCATAAAATTTATGCAGATGGTGTGAATATTGTTGAAGACACAAAAATTATGGTTCAGGAAGAAAGCAAGCTCTCGGATGCTTCTTCTGAAACAAGTGACCCTTCAATTACTAGAGATGACAAAAATGTTGACATACCTGAAGTATGTGATGAAAAACAATATCCCAAATGCTTGAAACAGGTAGAGTGATGCCACTTGCATTTCTATTATCATGTCATTGTAGGTACTATATATCTTACGTCTCATCGAGCTAATTTTCTTTTTTATTTCTGTAGGATTCATCGGAAGAGGATCAACAGCCTTTTCTCCATTAGAATCTCCAGTCGCCAAAAAGGTTGATGGTCTAGAGAGTGTTAATGATACACAAGAGAGGCCAAGTCCTGTATCTGTTCTTGACCCAATATTAACCGAGGATGTTTCCAGCCCGGGCAGCATCAGATCACGTTCTGGTAGGCATACGAGAATTTTTTTTTTGCAGTTCACATTTGTTTTCAACTTCATTGTGCCGGATTCCGTCTAATGCCGTTTTTTACATTAATCTTCAGGTGAAACATCCATACAGCCGATAAGAATTCGATTCGAAGAACATGGACCTATACTACCCACAAATCAAAGTAATCATATCAAAACTTATATGGATGACAAGGAACTGATATTCGAGAACGTAAAGGCCATGCTTCAACCCTCAACTTTCAACTGGGATGAACTCTACGTCAGGTCCTTTTCTTCTGAACTTCTTCTTGATCCATTGTTGCTTGACGAGGTAGAATACTTTCCAAACCAGCTTTGCCCCAACCAAAAACTGCTCTTTGATTGCATTAATGAAGTTCTCATGGAGGTTTGCGAGTACTATTTTGGTTCCCTTGGTGTGTCATTTGTTAAACCTAATATCCGTCCGATCCCCAACACAAAAAACACCATTGAAGAGGTCTGGCAAGGAGTTCATTGGCATTTGCTCCCAATACCACACCCTCGGACTTTGGACCAGATAGTCAGAAAAGACATGGCTAAGAGAGAAATATGGATGGACCTTGGACTCGACACCGATTGTATTGGTCTTGAGATGGGTGACACCATCCTCGAAGATTTAGTGGAAGACACCATAACTAGCTACATATATGAAACTCTAGAACTGAATATGATGCTGAAGAACTACATGACTGACACCAACTCCTAAAAGGCAAATGACCGAGTTCCGTTCACTGAAAGCAAGCTAATAAAGCCCTCCGCATGGGAAGGATGGCCGCCCCAAAACAAGAGGGATTCATTAACTCCCCGTATAACTGTTTTATCCCATGATCCAATGGTTTACTGTAACAATGCCATCAATAACCATTAACCAGGAGATCATTCAAGCAGCTAGCGACCGCATAGTCCAAAGAGATCCTTTCTGCAACTGCTCACAAGAATCAGCAAGAAATACTTGATTTCAGAGGCATTTCTCGGCTTAGTTGTACGAGTGAGGAAAAGCCATTGTTTCTCATTGTAGAATTTATAGGGTTTGGTGTGTGTGTGTGTTAGTTTGATTGATTTCATTCGTTCTTGGGCTTGTTTAACTGGTGTGTTCTTGTTGTATTTGTGTGCTTTGGGTATTTAGAGTTATGAGTGCTTATTGCTTATTTGATAATGAGGTAGGGTTTCACATGCCTGTATAAGTATGTATCTGTAAAAGCTATGCTTGCTGAAAATAATAATAACACTGAGTTTCATTCATTTAATTCATGCAGTCACCTTAAGTTTCCAAAATAATAATAATAATAATAATAATAAAATCATTAATACATTGTTCAAATTCTAAAAAAAGTAGAAACCCCCCCCCAAAAAAAACCAAAACTTTTGCCCTATTTCTATCACTCACAACTACATTAAACTAATTTCTTTAAAACTAAGTGTTCAAATCCATGAAAGTCGTTCAATATTTTAAAAGAAGGGTTTTAAAGCTAACAAGAGAGAGAATATGAATGTTAAAATATGGGACAATCACAAAACAACTTTCTTCCATTCTTCTTTTCTGGGTAAAAAAGAATTTGGATTGTGCATCAAGCAAGCTTTTTCATTGGCTCTTTGGTTTTTGAATCTCGACATAAGGGATAACACCCAAGAAGTGGACAATTTTCGGATCCCATTCTCGCTGCTGTGCACGGCAAAACATCAGGAATGTGTTGGCAAAATATGAATTGAAGCCCATGAAGATATGCCATAGAGCATGACCCTGAGGGTTGAAGTACCATCGAGATATCTGCTTGCAGAATACCTGGTCCGAAAGGCCACATATACTTCCCAGGAGCAAAGTTGCAATATATAACTTTGCAAGTCGTTTTGCAGAGGCATCTTTCGTGTAGATGTAGTATTTGTACATGCGAGGGATGCAAAGAAGGCAAAGAATGACATAATGCACCTTGAAGCCAATTCCGAAACGTACGAGAGCATGGACTACTGCAAATCCAACCCCATAAAAGAACAGAAAAGTAGGCATTGTACTCCGATAGTGCCAGTCTGGTGAGTAGAGTATGTAAAAGTATAGAAGCATTTCCCACACCATTGGAGTTTCATCACCCTGCTGTTGCCTGAAAATAGTTCGGAAAATTCACACTACAAATCAACTTGGTAAATAATAAAGGATTACAAATTTTTAAATCTTAATGAGCGATGTTACTCAAGTTTATTTCCCATCCCATGTTAAGAATAATCAAATAAACCCTAAATTTAGCCATCGTTTCTACTAAGCAAACCAAAGGAAAAATAATCTTCCAATTAGACATACAAAAACAATATTTCTAATATTATGTTTCAGTTGGAGAGACGTTTATCTAATGCCATAAGCATTTGGAGGAGTAGAGTACTTACAAGCGTTGCAGTGTGGAGTGGTATATCATGCTCCCAATGGAGAGTATCATGTTAGATATGTGAAGGACACTAAACCTCTTCTCGAATCGTTGTCTTAATGCATTTATAAGGCCAATGAGTGCTAAAAGAATGCCTGGGACATTGGATATAGTGTTGAAAAACTCCGCAATGTAAGACGAGTGAACATAGTTTTTCTCACACCTGTCGGTGGATGTGACAGGACCCCAGAAGCTTGAAAATCTATCTTCCATTCTACACTAAAAAGGTATAATCATTCAGCAGATGCACCTTCTACTTAAGTGCTGAACCTGTCATAAAACCTGCATATAGTGCCATAAAGAATTGATATTATAACAAATTAAGCAACATGTATCATGTTTAGCTGACTAAAATATTCTTTTATCAGGAAGACCCCAATAAACAAATGTCACAACATGTTAAGACTATGGCATATGTACACCGATTCAGATTAGACTATGGCATTTGTACACCGATTCAGATATGGACATAAAGCAATCCTTTTACTAGTAGGCCAAATGACCAAGAGCCACTAGGAATAGAAAAAAGGGGGAAAAGAGTACAAAAAAATCAAAACAATTTCTAGCATTCAGTTTCATGAGAGCAAAGTGATATCACACAGTCACAAAACTCTCAATATAAGGTAAGTTTTTTTTAACATCAGCTTCTTCTGAATTCCGAACTAAGGAACTTGTAAAATGTTCTACACAAGCTGTGCTGAAGGTTACCTGCACCTATCTGGCAAAATAAAGTTATTATTGCATTTCGACCCCCTTTCAACTTAATGGGAAAATCATTTTGACTTAAAATTAATCACCAAAACAGACTGAACATCGGCAGGCACGGATCTAGAGAACAAGTAAAAATAAAAAAATGCAACCCCAGCATTACCACATAGAATGCTATTAAAAATCATCCTACTTCAACAAAACCAGATCTTATAAACCTGCAATGACACCAATCTTATCAAATTCCAATAACCTTTTGATAATACAGAAGCAATTGCAATGGCATCTCACTTTAGCCCAAGTATCCCAATACCGAGGTCGAGATTCTAGTTAGTATGACAGCTACCGATGTGAATCTATCTATTCCAAAAATTTAAATAAAAGAAGGCACTAAAACCTCTACCGAATAAGAAGAAAAAAGTACCTCACTGCAACTAATTAATCGTCGAAAACTCATTTTCATCACCCTGAAACATACATTTAGCCTATTTCGCCTAACGAATCTGACCGAAGCAATCTTCTTAAAAATCTATCTGTTCAAGATTCTATTCTATCTTTAACCAAAACATTCAGCCCAAGTTCAAAAACAACCTTAGTATATTGACTATCTCAAAGCAGGTCCCCCAAATCGAAACTAATCTCATGAATGATACCCTATAATTATAGCAATCAAATCTATCTTTATACACCATAGTATTACTAATGAATCGAAATTTCTATATATTTTCTTTTTCCAACATTAAAAAATCAAACTTTAGAGTCAAATTAATATAAAAAAATTACAATTTGAAGGAAAGAAAATATATTTCAGCTACCCATAAAATCAAAATGTACTAACCCTCCAAAACCTAACCCCAAGAAACAACATCCTTCAGAAATTTGACCTTACCCATTAAGACCCATTCCTCAAAAAGTAAAACAAAAGCCTTTCTTAATAACAAAATTGCCCACATAGTTCACCAAATACACTGAAAAACAAAATAGTGAAATTGAAACTAACCTTTGGAATGGAAACAAGTAAGATCTGGTGTTGGGACGAAAACCAACCTTAAGCTGCTTTCGAAAACAAAAGAAAAGATTCGTGAAAGGAATCTAGCGGTGGCGCGTAGCGTGGGGAGGAATATTATTTGTGGGGAAACGCACATTCATTGGATTATATAATTGATGGATGGCTCAGATTTTTATTTATTTTTTAATTCGGAAAGTGAATTTGTACCCTTATTGGATTTGATTTTATTGATTATATAAATATAATGCTTACAATAATTAATGTTTAAGTTCTTTTTGAAATATTAGATCTTATTTAAACAAATTTAGAAATATTAAATCTTTAATTGATTGTGTACAAATATTATTACAACATCTGAGACGCTGAATTAGAGGAACAACGTAAGGACAAAATAATATTTTAAGGACAAAAATTTGGTGTTAATGGCGTGTGAAATGTAAGGAACAATGGATGTTGAATCTATAATAAAATATGATAAATTACATTTGGGTCATATATTTTAAAGTTTACTCAGTATCATCATCATCAGTAGGATATGAAGAATCTACTCTGTCGTGGAATTCCTCGTCTCCTTGGTCGTCCATGCTGTGCATTTGATCCAATCGAAGTGTATGCAAGGTTAACGCATTATATCCATGGTCACACCAGTGAACGAAGAAGAGAAAAACTAATACGCTACAGAAGAAAACATACTATTTCAGATCTTATTTTCTCCACTCTAGCCTGCAATGCTGAAATATGCTTTAAGAGTGCATGTTAACAGAATAAGCAGAACAGATGAGGCCTTTCAGAGGAGTATGCAATGTCGATCGGTAAATTAAGGAGTTTCACATTAAAGGTGGAATAAGGAACATGCTATGTAGCCAAGGGAGGAGTTATTGAGAGATGCCTCGTGTCTTTGAAACTCAATAGAACGTGCCAAAGCCCTCCTCTTTGTCAAAAGATTCTTCGGCCTTATTGTAGAAGGTCGCTCGTAATCTTTTCCTCGGTAAACAATTATGGCATATCCTTTGGAGATTTTATCAACTGAAACCAAAACTCCACCACTTTCTGCTTCGAGCGCTATCGCGACCTTTTTTACCTGATCAAAATTTTTAGCCTTCATAATGATCTTAATCAACTCCCTGTATTTCCAATGCAAGTTCATGTTCTCTATAGTACCATCGAAAACTCCACGTCTGCCTTAAGTGAACAAATTGAACTCCCATAGTCTTCCACATCTCATGAATTGTATCCACCACTTCTTGAGTAACACCAGAACCCTTAATTCTCATTGTACTCTTAGTCCGAAATGTCAAGTGTTTTAACCTTCTAAGTTCAGACTCGGGCAGAGTCAATTCTGCCACTGAGGTCTTATTATCTCTTCTGCCTGTCCACTTCGCTTCTTCTTCTCCCCCCTTCCTTTTTTCCCATGGAAACCTTACTTCCCCATCACTCTCAAACACACCTTCGACCCCCAAAGGTGACTCCTTTGAAAACCCACCTCTGGTATTTGGTAACATTCCTTCTTCCACATAAATGATAAAACATATCCTCTATAGACCCTCTTTCATTCTCTCCTTGGTTGTTCTTCACCCTTTCCTTTATGTTCAGTTTCCTCTCCTACGTACCCAAATTTCTTCAATTTCTCCACTTTTTTCTCCATGGTACTGCTGCTGCTGCTGCTACTCTTTGAATAGGACAAGCTCCATAAATTTCCATTTTTTCTATAGTTGAACACTGTTTTTGGTGGTTTGGGGCCATTTCTTTTATGGGTTTTGTTCCAATTATCTATCCAATTACTTCTAAAGGTGGGAAAAGCTTTGGTTTGGCTTTCTGGGTATTGGTGAACATGTGAACTTGAAGTGATGGTATGCTTAGCAGCACAAAAATTTAGGGTTTTGAGAGGGAGATTAAATGAACCGGAGCTGAGAAAAGGGAGAGGGAGGCCATGGAACCTGGAGAGAGAGGCTTGAAATGAATCCAAGGAGGTTGGTTTGGTTGTCGTTGTTGGATGAAATAGTCATCGACTAGACGAAGCGTTAATCGTAATATACAATTGAAAAATTTGTTATTAATTTTGT